CAGTACTGAAGAGTGTGGATAATTTTTAGTTTTTAGATTTTCCTAGGTTAACTGAATCGTTACCGTCTATTCATACACTTACCTGAACTGCACACAAGCTCTGACGGCGGTACCATGTGACCAAATGTTTAGCTCACTCGCATGACTACCGTTGCACATGCTGTACTTAAATGTAGACAATGACATAATATATAGAAAATGAAAGAGACAGACAGAGAGAGGCGATGGGGAGAGGGAGATTAATATGAGGATATAAATAAGGAAAGACCAAGAAGACGCACAAATCAAACTCACCACCCAAGCACAAGCAAAAGATGAAGGGCGCTCATCTTCGATCTTCTTCGCACACGTCTGTCGCCTCTGCAGGACGGGTAAATTATGCATTGGAATAATAATACCGTGAACAATATACACTGACAATCTGTTCGTTATCCATGATGCGGAACATATTGGTCTCAGACAAAGGACCCGCAACGTGTATATTTAGTCCCTTCATCTTGACATGTATTTAAAAAAAGTATTTTATTATTTTATTATTTTTGTGGCCCGGTAAGGGGATGTTTTGTTTAACATAGAAGTTATCTCGGGCGCTTAATTGTACTTACTCCAGAATTAAAACACCTTAAAAAGTAACGGATTATAGAAGCATTTTGTTCTGGTTTGCAGAGTAAAACATTAAGAACATAATTGGTGTTAGATAAAATACAATCAAATAAATTGGGGGGGGGGATTTTTAGTGAATAACGCATTTGTGACGTTCTTGTTCTTGTCGTTTTTATTGATAGGCCCAGAACTTTCTTAGTTAGATGATTATTTTCATTTTGTGTCAAATGGAACACTTCTTCTCAACTATACCGAGCCCAGTTTGTTCTCGTGAACTGACGTGCGTCATCTGGGATTCGATCTCACCATGGTTGGTGATAGTAATCAAACGCAATCTTTAGAATTTATTTCTAGCAAGAAGGGTTCATTTGATATACTAGGACTCGAACCCGTGTACAACCCGTATATATAGACAGCGTAAACAAGACAGCGGACTCCCCTTGGGCCACAGAAGCTTCCGTGCTCGGTGTTTGAATGGAATATTTCTTGTTTGTCACGGAGAGGGCCAGTTTGGATAAAACATGTAATTAGCTATTACAATCGATAGCCCAGTTGCCCTACTTCACCCCGCGCAAAGCCAGTCCCCGACCATGGTTTTAACTTCAACGTTGAAGTCCATGATGTACAAGAGACTGAATATTAGAAGCCGACAAGGAGTGTTCCTAGATAAAAGTATTTTTAAACTATGAATTTGTTTTATACTGGAATTCTGCTTGGCTTAATTCACCTATGGCGTTTAATAGCGGTTCATAGCAGGCGTGCTTAAGTTTAATCAAGCCTCTAAGGAAGGGGTTATTTTAAACAATGAAACATGTAAAAAAAGATGGATCGCTTTCATTGCGAAGATGCAAATTCTGAAAAAAAAATTGGAAAATAATTTCTCCGAGAATATATCATTTTTCCCCACTGAACGCTGTTTACAAATGGTATGACGTGAGGCTATACCGGGTAAGCTACAGATTCAGGGTCGGTTGCTTTTATTGATAAACCTGCCCGGAACTTTTTTGGCATTAAATTTGATCTTGTGTGACACTGAGATAACGCATCGCTTCACCTGTGACGTTATAGAGAACCAGGAGATACAAATTGGTTCACACCTTGACGGTTTTACTTTTGAGTAGTCTTTACACCTTCAAAAGTCGACTATGGGGTTGCCCCAGGTACTATATGAATATGTTAACATTCTTGAGAATCAGGGTCTCAACATGGTAGAAACAAAGGAAATTAATTAATGGGAAAAGCAATATAGGTGACGTGACTTTTAAAACAAATAAAACGTTTTATAGCTTATAATCCCACCAACGGAACTTTTCTGGCATTACATTTGATCTTGTGTGACACTGAGATAACGCACCGCTTCACCTGTGACGTAATAGAGAACCACGAGATACAAATTGGTTCACACCTTGGCGGTTTTAGTTTTGAGTAGTCTTTGCATATTCAAATAATGACTGTTGAGGTACCCCGGGTAATTTATGAACGGGAAAAATAATAGAGGCAACAGGACTTTTGAATAAAAAACAATATAACTTTTCTTGTTGATATTTTCCTCTTGTTATGTTTCTGTCTTTGTAATTTGAACCCCGTTTGTACTTACACGTACCTGGTAACAGTAATAGCTGGATACAAGAAGACATGAAAGACCTTGCATATTTCGCACATGTCAAGCCCTGAATAAAATTTGACAGTTTTTTTGTTTCTCTTTCAATCACTTTATACTGAAAGTGTTTTATTTGTTTCTTTCATTCAGTTTAATCTTAAGATCTTTATTATGTTCTTTCCGCACATCGTTCCGCTGCATTCTATTCGACTGTTGCATATTGGCCTAATATTACTTTAAAAACTGTACATTCTTTAATTTCTCTGAAGACTATTCTTGAACATTGTGTACTTTGTTGTTACTTTCCTAGATAACCCCATGTTTTTTTTTTTCATTCACAAATTTTAGCAGTTCGTTAGGGTCTGAATGCAGGATAGGAATGGTCACCGTCACTTCCGCCGTCATTTTTTAAACAGATTTCCACTGACATGCAACGGTTGTCTTTCCACAGTTCCCCCGAGAGGTAAACCTTTCTGGGTTGTATTTAGATACCGTTGGTCTGCTATTTTTTAGGTTTTCTTCTCACCCGCGAGTTCTTACCCAACGGGCAAATAATGTTGTTTTAACGTTGAAACAACGTTGAACCATATAACGTTGATAACGTTGGATAAATGTTGGATTTGAAAGTTGGATCAACATCAGATAACAACATTTTATCAACCCCAGTTGTTAGACAACATTCTTGCATGAAAAGACATTAAAATGACCTGAAATGTTTTAATTTTGGTACAAAACACAGGTACACAATTATAACGTACACTGTAAAAACATTCAAGTGCCTGCTTTGTCTGATTTTTTTAAAACTCATTAGGCATGTTTTGCACCAAAGCATGATACACCCTTTTAGCCTGGATATGTTTAGCAGCATGACATGTTTGATGGCTAAATACAGGTACATGTAAGACATACACATGTATGTATGTATGACCTTTAAGTTAGGTTTTCTAAGGTTTATATATATATATATATATATATATATATATATATATATATATATATATATATATATATATATATAACAAAATCACAGTCGCATCAACCTATCTACATGTATAACAGGGTACTGAGAACTGTCAACTTTGTTAACTTCACTTTATCACATTTAAAGCGACTTATTCATCCTAGTGTAAGCTGACCTTTCAAGGAATTTTATTGGAATGTTTTTTCTGAATAACAGGTTAAGAAAATTCACCTTTTCACTAAAGTAACAAAACAACTCTCACTTTTACTTTAAAACACTTTTTAGAAATATTTTGATAAAGTTAGTTACAGTTTTGATAGGCAAAGTGTCACGTTTTCAATAATCAATATTTTGAATTACAATTCATGCCTTGCCTCACGACAACTAAAGGTTGCGTTTTCAACGCGTTTAGCTCCAAAGCATGATTTGCACATAAGCATGTTACACCATTTTGGCCTGGATGTGTTTAGCAGTAGGATGCGTTTGATGGCTAAACATATGTAGGGTATATATGCATGGCCTTTAAGTCAGGATTTCCAAGGTTAAGTTATATATATATACCGTAAACTGTCAACATTGTTACCTTCACTCCATTATATTTACAGCAACCTATTCATCCTAGCGTTAGCTGACCTTGCAAGGAAGTTTATTTGAATGACTGAATAACAAGTTAAGAATATTTACTAGTTCACTAAATACACAAAACAAGTGTCACTTTTACTTTAAAGCACAGTTTTTAAAATGTTGATAAAGTTTGTTACAGTATTGATAAACATAGTATCACGTTTTCAATAATTAATATTTTAAAGTACGGTCCATCACGACTAACAAGCAACAACTGTGAGTCAATGTCACATTATGACGGCGTTTTGACGTGGCTGGATCAACATTGATTTGACGTTGAATTTAGGTAGATCAACAGCGATTCAACGTCCCATCCTGTTTTCAACGTTGATCCAATGTCACTATGCCTGCTGGGTTGGTTCCTTGATAGCTGAGGTAAAGATAGGTAAGCAGTAGAATTAGAAGTAATCAATATCTATGCAAGTTTGAATTAAATTATGTAAATATTATATTGTACAATATATCATTACTGCAACATTTGATTGCGATAAAACTATCTGTAAAGTGATCAATCCCTCTTATGATTGATATACGCTGTATTTGTATAAGAAGAAAACCCATTTATCTATCAAAATAGACAATTATCTAGAAAAGGAATTCGAAAAACTTAAACCTTAATAGAGAAACATTCATTTTTGTGAAGCCAAAACCTAAAAGAAACTGGAAGCCAATCTGGTGGAGTAAAGTGATCTTATGGAAATATGGAAATATGGCCATGAAATGTTCTCACTTTCACAGCTCAGACCGTCGCTGCCGAGTTTCCCAGTGCTACAATTGCACACAAATGATCCAATGGTGTTTTCGCAAATGTCTTGGCACCCTCCATTGAAGGAGCTGCATTCATTTATATCTGAAATAATAAATAGGTACAGATGCTATTAAACCAAGAGGACTACAAACGCATGCAATTATCCGAAACATTCTCGCTCGGTGGGTGCATCCCATACTTCAAGACAATTTATATATGTATAACAACTATAGGATGGAATCACATGGGTTGGAGAAAGGGACAGAACAAGCTGTTTTGCCAATAGATTGTATAGAGGTTATCAAAACGAAAGGTGACCTACTTGTCAAAAGAAATTTAGTTCTCTAAAAGGGAAAATGAGGGACTTTATAAGCGCACACACTCAATGTCATTTTGACATCATTGAAAAATAACTGGGACGTCAGGTTGCAGCGTGCCTAAATGTATAACGGAAGTGGACTTACCTTCACACGTAATACCGTCTTCTCCAAACTGGTATCCAGGGTTACATTCACACTGGTAGGAACCAGGTAGGTTTTTACAAACCTGTGCACAGCCTCCGTTCTCGTAGCTGCATTCATCTAAATCTGTAATACATCACAGCAGGATATGTAGACCAACATGTACATTGTAATACATGAAGGCCTACATATCCTAAGCCATTTGATTTACGCTGTAAAACACATCAACTGAAGTAAGATTGACACCAAATATGTCTTGTTTGTACTTATATATAAATATTTCTGAATTCTGGATTCATAACCTTTGGAACTGCAGATGTGAAGAAGCTAAATGAATTGTGATGGAGTACGTATCATCAAGTGTCCATTTACCACTCAGCGTGCCAATTTACCCACCCTATATGTCAGCCCCCCACCATAACACATTTACGATCACATACAATCAACAGTCGCCCCATCTATCGCTCTCTTACCGTCACACGTGACGCCATCTGCATTCAGCACATAGCCCATGTCACAAGCACAGATGAAAGAACCGGGCGTTTGCCAGCATAATTGAGAACAATTCTGCTGGCATTCAAGCTGAATATCTGTTAATCAATAAAATGAATTTGAAATGAAAAAATGTAAAAAGAAGCCATTCAAATAGGCTGTTTTGATAAGAAGATGAATAAACAAAGACAAATGTGTTTGTTTGTTTGTTTGTGAATAAAATAAATTACGTCAAATACGAAAAAGACAAGTAAGGATGTAAGTTAGTTAGTATCGCAAAATCTCATGCGCATTTTCCCCTTTTTTTGGTTATTTTTTTTAGTTAACCGTTTTTTATAATTATACCTTCTTTTCACCGTTTGTTTGTCTGTCATCAACATAACTTAAAAAGCTATTGCTCGATTTTGATGAAATTTTCATGAACTGTCAGAAGTGGGCCAAGAAACAGATGATTAGTTTTTGGTGGTGATCCGGATGAATAACCAATCAATAATAAATAATAATAATAATAAAATGCTGCCTTGGTGGAGGTCTGCGCTCTCGGAGTGCTTTTCTAGTTTTATGTTACTTTTCCAGTACATCCATGTCTGCCCTTTCATGCAAAATCATGTATGGTACACATGTACATATCTGCTTTCCATTTGCAGATTACAAGATATCTTAATTATCAACATATTAAACAACAGTACATGTATCTGTGTTAACTTTTTTTGCCTTACCTTGACAAGTGACACCGTCGTCCATTAGCCGATAACCGGCCTTACAGTCACAACTGAAGGAACCTATCTCATTTAAACACACTTGGTCACATCCTCCATTGTTCAATGCACATTCGTCGATATCTGAAAAGAATCTCATTGTGCGAAGGTAAGATTTTGCTTAGGATGGGCGTTTGTTCGTGGGGAGAGGCAAGGATAAAATAAATTTGCCTTGGTAAAAAAAGAAGGCGAACACATTATCCTGATTACTGACGGGTCAGAGTATAGAGATTTCGATAGTATTTTATCTGAAGTTAGAAGGAGAATGAAAGAGGGAGAGTTTTGGTACATTAAACAATTTTGGGCATATTCGGTGTAGCCGTTTCTAGCAAACAAACAAACCAAAAAACAACAAACAGGCAAATAATAAATAAAGTAATTATCTAATAAAATGAGTAAAAAGTAAGAATAATTAAAAAATATTATTGAGTACTGCCTTGTTGTTTTTAAAAAGGCTAGATATCTACCAGTGCACGTGATTCCGTCCCCAGTATATCCAGGGTCGCAGACACAAAAGAAAGACCCCTGGGTGTTGACACACGAGGCCAGCACGTGACAACTGGCCACGCCAAGAGCACATTCATCCTTGTCTGAAAACAATGTAGTGGCGCTTCCAGTCGATTTGAAGACAGATTAGGTTAGAAAACGCAATATATCAGAAAAAATGTTCGTTATGACTTAAAAAATGTTTTGATAAAATTAGGGCCGTGTCAGCACAGGATTACACAGTTTATTATGTAATATTGTTTCATATTCAAGTAATTTTAGAGATGCTTCTGCTGCACGTGCCAAAGTTTGACACCATTGCTGCATACTACAGCAAGCCGACTGTAATAAACAAAATTGATATTACTGGTTAACATATAGACCAAGACGTGACAAATTTTAACTAGACCTGACCTTTACTTACCTACACATGTTTTTCCATCTGAATGCAGGGTAAATCCTGGGCTACATTCACAATGGAATGACCCGACCTCGTTCACACACGTTTGTTGACATCCACCATTGTTTACCAGACATTCGTTGACATCTGAAATTCGAATTTCCAAATATGGAGATGGTCCACGGGCACTTTAAGAAAAATATTAATATTGCCATCTTGCTCCTATAGCCTGCACTGAATCGAATATCCTGGTGATATATAGATCTTACCATTGTGTAGTGAATACGCATTTGTTCGATACATTATTAGACCTTGCGCCGAGTGTTTATTTCGATAACAATAAATTGAATTAGTATAAATCGTTGACTTTTATTTACAAATCATAATTTAAACTTAATGATACAGAAAAAAGTTTTGAATATAATTATACAAATATTTGAATTTATCAAAATTAAATAAACTATTTATTTAAGGGAGAAGTTGAACGGTGTGCGTGTATTCCAATTTCCACGTATACATGGCGCAGGTCTGTAGCCAGCAAGGTTAAAACCTTTTTTTCTGAAAACGTGGACCTTTGTATGCCATTAATGGACCCTAATTGAGAAATGCCATAGAACCCTCAAGTAAATAAAATTTTGAGTTACAAAGGGCACTTCCCAGTTTATAGGGCACGGTGGTTTCCAAACCCCCCATCCCCCTTCCAACTGCCGAAAAACCTATACCGCATGCTAACATTTCATACAGCTTTCACTGCGTGATCTTTAAGATAGTATCGACACCGTGTCGTACTTATTTTAATAGCATTCTTGTGCCCCTCTGTCTTTATATATATATTATTTATTTATTATAAATCCTACCAAGTACAGTGACAGTGTAATTATTAGAAGTGATGTACATGTACAGTAACTCAACTTTCTTCCGAGCAGCTGCTTCTTTCCTTTGTAATGTCATTATGTTTAATAACATTTTCTATATACTTTTACATATTTTAAGGTTAGGCCTACCCTCTACCTTCTTCACATTCATAAGAAACCAGAAACCAGGTCCTTAGTGTTTACCAGTATTATTTGTTATAATACTCCTGTTTTATTGTCCACTACACCAGAATATGAATCATGAACTGTTAATAATGATATCCACTCCCAATTCCATGACTCCATGAACCGGAACAGGATCCTTGGTATATAGGCAGCTTCGGTTAGATTGCCCTTTCTTTCTACTCTCACTATTACCGGAAGCGGAACCTGGTTTCTTCCAACTACCTTAATATCTATGCAGTTTAACAGTCCACACACCTTGCTTACAACCTGCTCCGGTCCATCCGTTACAACACACCTGCCTGGAACACTGGGAGTTCACGTTTCTGTAAAAAGAAACCAATTATATAAATGAATAAATATTATTATTATTATTATTATTATTATTATTATTATTATTATTATTATTATTATCTAGAAAAGAGGGCACGTCAAGTCCCGGAAATATTTAGTCAATTTTGGTTTAAATGAGATTGTATTTTGACCTACAATGCACCTGAGACCAATGCAAAATAATTTCTTTCACAAACTCGAACTTCTACATATGTGTTAAATGTGCTGTTTTATCTTTCCCTTATGTCCAAACGTAGAGTGTATATCCTGCCGGTGGAATGGGAGTCCCAGGAATGGTAGTCCTTGGATTGGAAATTCGGGCTCCCATATGACAAGTAGGGTTATAGCCAGAGTTAGTAAAAATATATGGGACGAATGTCACCTGCACAAAGTAATGGAAAGCCTTCCTGTTACACTTGGTTATTTTACATAGAATGAGTCGTGTTACCTGTTACGAGTACATCTCTTCAATCCCAGCAAACCGCAACTAGTCGTATTTCGCTGAAATTTTGTACAGGTGTAGGTTTGTGTACAGTAAGACCCCGTCACAATGGGCACTAATGTTGCCAAGCTGCAGAGAAAATATTCCAAAAAACTTTAAACGCAACCCCAATGTATATTCAATACAGTTAATAGTCATATTATGCTGTTCAGACACAAAGGTGAACTTATCCAGGCTCAAATAGTTTACGTTTTTCCATATCTATATGCAAACAGCAACGGAGGCTACGTAAACACCCACCTTCTATTATATTGCACGTTGTTAAGAAGAAAGAGGTGCAACGTGTCGCGAGACAGGGAAGTCATTTAACGGATATTAACGGAGATTACCGTTTGAATGAATGTAACCGCGAGACATGGACAGTCGTGTTGCTAATTAAGGGTAAAGGTGGCGATTTGATGGCAAACAATAAAGGGCACCAAAGGAGACCAGAATTGTGCCGGAAGTGTGTTGTCATGTGACGTCAAGTGATTTAAGACGCGAAGCTGAGTGGTCATTTCTGGCTGGCGTTGAATAGGAATGAAGACGTGGACTTCGAAAAAAAAGCAGTTATTTTAACAACACGGTAAGATAATATTTTATCTTTATGCATTTGGGCAGATAATACTTGCAGAAATAATACGAACATGATATGAAAACATGTCACGGAAGTAAAAGGTGAAAAACCGTGCTTAATTTGCAGTCAATTTGTTTTGAAATATATGCTGCATCGACCACCAGCGCAACAAAGAGCGTCTATGGAAAAAAATTCCGGGGAGGTTATTAATCGTTGTCATGTGGAATTTTTGCATATATGCAATCTGTTATGTCAATATCTAATTATGTTTGGGTGTTTAATGGTATGTGCTGAAATAGAGACTGTCCGAGACTGTACCAGACTAAGATTACAGCGAGATTTAATGATAGCCTGTGACATTGATAGCCTGTTAAAATTGATAGATGAGCATTATTCCACAATTAAATACTGGAAGGGAGAGTCCAGTTACCAAGCCAAGAGCTGTGAGCAGGGGGAACATGAGAAGAAACCTGGCCCAGAGCGCAAGTTGTCCAGGAAAGAAGAAGTGCTTATCAACTTAGTTAAATTGAGGACTGCCTTTTCCAATAACATTTTGGTAGATTTGTTCACCACTTCTACAACACGGATCTCATAACTGCTTTTTTCTCATAACCCACGTCTTCATTCCCATTCACCTCCAGCTTAAAATGACCGCTCAGGTTCACATCTTACACCACTTGACGTCACTTCCGGCACAATCAGTCTCCTCCGGTACCTTTTATTATGACCTTTTTGTGGCGTCACTTATAAATGGTGTGCCAAAGTCTTAACACTACGACATAGCTGGAGTAAAAACAGAGAAATGCTATCAAACTTGTTCGTGAACCAATAAAAATGACTTTATTTGCGAAAGATATGCTTTAAAGAGGGGCGGTGGACACAGTCACGCACCCAAGATTTGCAAATGTATAGCCCCGGGAATTTATAACACGGGGTGTTATGGGATCCATATCAAATCACTGTGCTGTGAAAACACGAAAACGGAGGCAAAATGACCAGTTACAGAGTTTCAACATCGATTACTGGTAGCACTACGTGCTTAGAGTCTACTGTATTTTCCCCGACTTGTTCTTTGCACGTTTGAGTGTTGCAGTCTAATAAAGAATTAAAAAGATTAATAATCGAATAAATTGTGTAATCTTTCAGAAGAGAGCGCATATTTGCGGCATAAACCTGATAAATAACAATGGCAAATTAACCCTCATGCGAGTTTATATCAATACACTTTCCTTTGTAAATCATCTTAGGCGCGATATTTTAATCTTTCCAAAATGAATTACTACATATAAAAATTGATTTAAATAAATAATGGCATTTTTTAATGAAAAACATATCTCCTTAGCGTCAACCACGTCCTTGTTTTAAAGTGTGATCATTGCCACATATAACGACACTGTTGCGTGTCTTCGTGCAAGTTTAAGTGTTGCAGTCTAATAATGTATTGAAAAGAAGAATAATCGAATAAATTATGTAATCTTTCAGAAGAGAGCGCATATTTACGGCATAAACCTGATAAATAACAATGGAAAAGTTAGTCCTTATGCGAGTTAATATCAATACACTTACCTTTGTAAATCATCTTATGGGCGATGTATTTTATCTTTCCAAAATTAATTACCGCGAATAAAAAAATGATTAAAATATATAATGGCATTTTTGAATGAATAACATTTCTCCTTAGCGTCAACCACGTCCTTGTTTTAAAGTGTGATCATTGCCACATATAACGACACTGTTGTGTGTCTTCGTGCGATAGTTCTTGTCGAAATGTCTGGTTATGCTTTCTAAGCGCCTGTTTTGTCTCATTTTTTCGACGCGTTTAGCTCCTAAGCACTTTAAGCTCCTTACCATGTTTCACGCTTTGATGCCTATTAAGTGTAAGGGGGTATTTGCTTAACTTTTAGGTGATAAGAGTTTCAACTGTTTTAGTCACGCACACGCACACGCGCGCACACACACGCACACACACGAAGTCACGGTCACCTGTAACTTTTATTATCTTTAGCTATAACAGGGAACGTGAACTGTCAACATCGTTGACTGCACACCATCACCTTTACAGCGGGACTTATTCACCCTTGTGATAGCTGACCTTGCGAGGAAGTTTATTGAAATATATTTCTGAAAATCAAGTTAGGAAAATTCACTAGTTGACTAAGACACGAAACAGATATCACTTTTACTTAAAATATTTTTTTTCATATTTTGATAAAATGCGTTACCGTATTGATGTCTATTTATTTTTTCCAGAAATAATGAACAATAGAACATCAGGAAGATGGTGGGGTATTCATTATAATGGTTTATTTAGGCTTTCATCGCATGCTGGTTATTTTGGAAACTATATTCCGAATATTTAATAAATCGCACCGCTCTAGTCGCCTACTAACCCAAGCCCAATTTGGAATTAACCGCTAACTGCAGTTCATACAGCACAAAGATCTAATAAACGGATATCTTAGAACAGCATAAGACGTTTACAAGGGGAGGTGCTTAGCCACATTGTTGAGTCTTGACTTGTACCCGGGCTGTTGCATTAAATGATGAAGATAAATCGGAGAGAGAGAGAGAATCGGAGAAAAAAAAAGAGAAAGAGAGAGAGAGAATTGGAGAGAAAGAGAGAAAGACAAAGAGCTGAAAAGGAGTATGAAAAAAGGAAAGACCACACAGACAAAAACTCACCAACCAAGCACTAGCAACAGATAAAGGGCGTTCATCTTGGATCTTCTTCACGGAGAACAACTCACGTCTGCTGCCTCTGCAGGACTGGTGAATTATACGTGTTGAAATAATAATAATACAGCGAATAATATACACCGAGAATCAGTTCGTTATCCATGATGCGGAACATATTAGTCTCAGAAACAGGGCTCGTAACATGCATACTGAGTGTTTGTTACCTTGGCAGATATTTATACCTTAAGTATTTTGTAATTTTTGTGGCCCAGTAAGGAGATGGATTTTTTTTTTTTGTATTGATTCCGGATTTTAAAATGTTTAACTTGTCATCGGTCGTAGGGACGTATCTTGCTCGCTGAGTAAAAATAAAGAAGAACAATAATTGCTGTTAACGGTTGCGGTGGACAATCTCCAGTAAAAGCACCAGTGATTTTGAGATACTCCTACGTGAAAATTATTATTCATGACAAGGTGCGACGTATCGTACCCGATTTTAGTGCCAAGGCTTGTGTCAGTGGCATTTGATGGTAAAGATTTATGAACAAAATTAAGAAAGTTTGGCAATTAAACGACGCACGTACACCCATTATTATCCAAAACAAGTCACCTTTTCGGTTAGCTCAGAATGAGGAAGTGATGAAGTAAAATCCATTTGATACAAACTGCTGAAGAGTATTAAATATTAAATCTATAGATACGCCTTATATCGAGTCGTGCAACATAAAAAAATCGCACAAAAATATTTTGAGGGGGGAGAGGGAGGCAAAGAGCACTCACTTTTAAAACTGTTAACCGGTACATAGGCGGGCAGGGGGCGGAGGCTCTTAACACAAGTAAACAATAATGGCCTTGAATAAGAAAAGAGGAGCTTCTGCTCTGTCCACTGGGCTCCCGGCCTTTGAGAAATAACTTATTGAAGCACCATGTCCACAAACAATCAGACACCAATGAAAACATAGCCTCTGTCATTTGCGGAGGTAATGCCTAAGCCCCAAGGGAGGCCTTAACCTCACCCTCCCACACCCTTACCCTTTCTAATTTATGGGGTTCATAGGGTACATTCAAGAGACAGGACTACAGGGTATATTTGACAATCCTATTCGAAAGCTGTCTGAACAGTTGGCGTCTTCCGTTCCTATTCTAGATCATTGACAAAGCAAACATTGAAAGGATTTATAAAGATGGATAAGCACACACTGTACTGTACCTAGGAATCATTGCTTTAACAGCAATACAAATCCAAAAAAGGAAGGCCATTAATTACAACGTTAAGTGGCAGGGGTACTTGAGTGTTTAATCACCTCAATTTCTCGCTTCTCGTCTCTCAAATCTGCTCACTTTCATTCTTAAATTTTCATCCACCGCTCACGTTATTCACCTTTACAACATTCGCAGACGATCAGTTTAGTAACAGCTAGCCCTGGTCCTTTTCGTATGTTTAAATGTGCTCTCCTGGTATAGGATTTAGCATTCTATCTCATCTTCTCATCGTAGCTTACAGCTCTTTACACTACGTGGTGATTGCATGCCATTTATTCGTGAATTCTTCAACTTACAATGTACAAGGTTCACCACAACCCTGCTTTTTTTCTGTTTGAGTGCGTGTACATGTTAGTGAGTGTGTGAACACGTGTGCGTGTGTGCGCGACCATTTGTTCATGTGTTTGGGGTCTTAATTCGTTAGTCGAATTTTAAATGGTACGAGCCTGACCGCCCCGTATATTTAATGCATGTACAAATAACATTTTAGTGTACACGCAAATAATATAAGTATGTGCCAAGTTTAAAATGGATACTGACCCAACTCCTACCGCGCCACAATTTCATTCTACAGAAATTCGAAGTTTCTTGCATGGCGTCATTCACGACATTTACGACATAATGAAAACAACAAAGAATGAACCTCTACAATACCTGCATACATATTTTAGGTAGTTCAGGATTTACAGACAATAAAGAACATAATGATAGGAAAAGGGGGGAAATGAAATAGTGTGTCACTTTCTCCTTTTTTTCATTTTCTTTCGAGCGACTGAGGGCATTTTCAGAACTCCGTTCTAGCAATCTGTTCTATACATAACAGGGCACCAGAATATTGACGGTTATGAAGCACGAAACATAAATTACGACATTCATCGCCCTGGCCCAGACAAAGACACACAGTTTATGTACTAAGTATATCATTTCAGTGATATATAACACGGTAGTGTTACAAATTTTAGTAAGAACTTAATTTAAGTTTTAAAAACATTTAAAATTCATTAGTTACAATAAGATTGCAAAAACAACATAAGTCTCATTAGACGTTCAAGCACTGACCAAACATAATAACCTTCCGATCTCAGGCCAGCGAATGAGTGCCGTAATTAATGACCTCTAGTGGTCGGCAAACGCGTCAATTAAATTGCAAGAAGAGGACAGAGCAACAGCAGATATATATAGAAAGATTTAATTGATTATCTCTTGGTATCATGTATAAGTATTTAATAAGCACTTCGCTAGTTCAGGAAAATGACCAGTTCCGGTTCGGTCAAAATTAAATATTAAGAATCAAAGAACCGGGCAAATCACACTATTTAAATCGAAGGTCTAGAATCAGTATTTCCAATAATTAAGTTAATGTTGAATCAAAATGTCCATCCTTGACGTGAGATGTGAACCACCTGTCGCCCTAATTTTGTTATAAAAATGCAGCATTCTGCCGCATTCGAGGTGTTCGGCGAGTCGGGAAAATAACAGCGTACCCAAGCCGTTGGAAGGAGACATTGAGGGAGAGACATTGTGGTCACATCTTTAACTTGATGTAGTCCGTGTGCGCACGATAAAATTTCTTTTAAAGGGAAAAGAGAGTTGTTCATAACTTTACAGTGACGCGCTTTTATCACACCTAAAAGCCCCCGTCACAGTTTGGTGGAGGAATCAGCTCGATCCAGCTACGCGCACGCCAAGCAACGCTCCACGTATGTCAGCCCGACCCGAAAATTATTGGTCAGCGCCATCTGCGAACACCAGGAACAAGAAAACAGGTGAGACGCACTCTAAAACTGTAAAAGAACCTACATCTCCCCTCTCCGGCGAAACGTCACCTATATCGTCACGTTCATCCTCACCTGCTCTATCTCAAATTAACGAATCCGCTGAATCACTTGCGCCGCCGCAACCGTTAGACGCTATTTCTTATTCTCAATCGCTAGATTCTGATATTTCCACCTCTACGCCACCGTCAACCCCACCGCCTGCCCCAGTTTATGCAATGTCGGCAGAAACAAGTCTGTTACCTGAGAAATTCACGGGTAGCGCGATAGAAGATCCATAAAGATGGCTATCGCACTTCAAAAAGTATGCGTCATACCGCGCTATGACGGAAGGACAACAAATAGGCTCTTTTCCATTGTTATTGCGAGGCGCTGCCTTAGACTGGTTCGATACACTTGCTGACGATCAGCGTCAAAACATTAACGCTATAGAAAATGCATTTCGGGCACGATTTCAACCAACTGAGAGTTCTAAATGGCCCACCGTGTCCAATTTATTCCAACGCCGCCAAAAACAGGCGCAGCCAGTGCAAGATTACATAGCGGAAATGAGACGCGAAGCCGCGCGAGTGAAATTGCCTGAAGAACAAACCATACAGGCTATTTTACATGGCCTACTACCCGAAATACGACCATTCGTGGCTCAACACGAACCTCACAATCTCATTGCGCACGCTAGACAGTCTGAAACTGCAGTACAACCCACAGTCATCTGCATCTATCAATGCGCTGAATACACAACTCTCCGAAATCAAAACGCAGATCTCACAACTGGCCGTGTCTGCTGTGAATCCAGCACCAATCACTCCGATACAACCCCCAGGTAGAAACCCTATGGCCGCCGATTTTCAACCCCAAGCACCGCCCAACCCTCGCTACGAATACGGCAGACACCAACAGCGATGGCAGTATCGTCCACTTCGACCCAACTACGGCATGCGCAACATGCAGCCCAGATTTCAACGCACCACCCCAGCCCGCAGCAATCCTGTCATTCGACCCAGATCCACGGGAAACCAGCAGAACAACAGAGGAAGAGGAGACATCCCTCCATGCAACGGCTGTGGTATGTTACATTTTCGTCATCTCTGCCCTGCTTTAAAAATGAATTGTCGTAATTGTGGCAAAATAGGTCATTTAGTGAGAGTTTGTCGATCAGGTAGACAACAATGACAACCAAAAACACAAGATCAAAGTAAGTCTGTAGGAGTAGCATTACATCAGCCCATTCAAAATTTCATTTATATTTCTGTGAAAAACAAAAAGCTTGATACACTCGTAGATACAGGTGCTTCTATTTCATGTATATGGCGTGAGATCAAATTTACACTATGACACGACAAAGTACAAGCAAACATAATGTAGTCGTCAAGCTTTACGCAAGGTTGAAGCGTAATCAAAGATTTAACTGTTATCAACATGTCTAACTGTTTAGAATTTTTAAAACAAATAAAACATAAGCTTGAAATTTAAGAATATTTGACAAAATCAGCAGAACCAGTGAAATGATAAATGAGGTGTTTAAAGCAAAACTTAAGGCGAAAATATATAAACAGGAACGGGGGATGCAAGAGACAGGGAGCACCTTTGTCTTGCAAGCAAACATGCCACTCAAAGCGTTCAAAATCTTGATCAATGTTAAATGAGGCAAACTTCTCGAATGGGGCTGTTTCATAAAAGTAGCAAAACTGAAAACGGGCTGTTTCTTAAACACCGTTAAATGCTGTAACTATGACGATCCGAATTTGTGTATTATTTGCGCGTTGCTCAAAAACGCTTGCTGTTGTACTTGAAACGTCAAGGTATTATGCATTTATCCTCTAACAAATAGTTCAATTAATTTCCAATGTGTGTGATATTTGGTTTGCCTCAAAGCATGGTACACACAGTGATTACTCGATAAATATAATAACAAACGTAAGCCATTGGTATCTTCTCGCACTAACTTCTTAATAAAAATGAATATTCTATAAGTAAAAGAAAAATCCAGTCTTCTTATCGTTGCTTCATACGACTAGCAATGAAGCATATAATGTGAATAACTGTAAGTATGGCACACACTGTCATACGCGTAACAGTGCATCAAAAACGTTCACAGCAAACATACATTTCTAAGCAAACTTCAGCGTTGCTTCCTGACTTCTAATGAAGGCATCACGTGATAACAACATGTTGTTCACGTGATCCAGGCGTGGTTTACTCGCCGGGCTGGTCATTCTGACACCGCGGTACGTTACGGACGTAGTTGCAGTTCTGTATACTCTGATCCCACACCAGAGGACCGTCTTGGCCACTGGGGCAGTTCATGACCACAGGTGTTGACCACACGCACACCACGAACTTCCCACAGTCGAAGGGGTGGGCCATCAAGGAGAAAGTGGTCGGACATGAAATTACTGGAAAACAAGAAAATGAATAATAAATTCATGCTTTGTTTGTGTGGGTGGACATTTTTACTTGTTTTATTATATCAGCATTCGTCTCGGTAGTTGGCTTATGCCTATGTACACCAGTATTCGAAAGACAAAGGATCAAAACAAGAGAGAGAGAGTGAGAGAAGAAGAGACAGACAGATACTCTCCTTACCATCATTAGTAACGGTTAAGTATCCAGATTCTGAGTCATCGCCAGCTATGTAATTTTCAGCTCGACACGAGTATGATCCTGCATCCGAATCTGTTACCGATTCCAAGCGCAAGGTCTGTGAGGTTATTCCCAGTGCCTCACCATCCTTAAACCAGGAGTAGTCTGGTGTGGGATCACCAGTTGCCTGACATGTGAACTGCACTGACTCTCCAGTCGTAACAGTGGTGTTTCTGGGTCCCGCGATGACTTGCGGTGCGGTTTTACAGAAAACATCATGGTACTTGATGTTATCAAGAAGATCCACGATCTCTCTGCTTTGTCGATAAGCCTCATTGACGTCGATGCCTTCCACACTGTTCACAAGTGCCAGAATCGAATTCTCCAGAGCGGGAATATAGCCTTTGATGCTTTCGACACCTGGTAACTGTAGACTGGTATTATAGAGCTCATACAAACGTCCAAGGTCGTACAACACACAATCTCTGAAGTTGGCACAAACATCCGGCGGATATGTGGTTGACGTGATATTTTCTGCGACACTGATCCACATTTCCACTAACGCCATCTTCGCTGCTTGTTTTGCCTCCTCCAGAACTATGTTCTTGGCAAACGCAGACGCTCCCAAAGCCTCTTTCAGTTCCGGATCATCCGTGATATTCGACATGGTCTCCAAAAACGCCGCCTCCATTTCCTCAGCCGTCAGATTGTAATCAGATTCACCGACCGTGACATTAACCCCGAAAGACGCTAATGATCCATTTGATAGTTGAGGGGTGTCGACATCTGGGAAGGTCTCTAACATGGCCGTCACGTTATCTAACGATGCCTTGGAGTCAGTTGCAACACTTAAAAGGGAGTCAAACACGCGGCGCAGAAACCCCTCCGCTTCGTTAAAAGTCTCACATTTTTCTGCAAATATATTAACTCTGTTTTCCTTATCACTAGGGTTGTTGAGATCCTCATTAGTGCTGTTCTTGAATCCAGTGATGCTATCTTTTACATCTAGTGTTTCATTCAATAGTTGTTCTCCTGCTTCGATGCTCCCAGTTTGGCGAATCACCCGGTATAAGGTGTGCATCTTGGCGTTCACGTCAAACTCTATCTCGCGGCGTTTTCGACCGCTTATAGCGTTTTTGAGCGCACCAAGAAGTGCATTTATTGTAGCTTTAGCTGCTTCCAATATACTCTGCACTATATTTTTGAAGTTGATCCTTATCCTTACGGTCCTCCAACCGAGACTGAAGGCGTTCACTTCACACGACACGTCGAAAATAGGTAAATCGACGGTAGAAAGCTCCACTCGGAACCCACACTGCCTAACATCTAAGATGAACTGCAGCCCTGAAGCGATCAACTCAAACACTTTGAAGGCCGCTCTCACTGCAAACTTTACTGCTTCAAGAGCAGCCTTGGCAACATCAAAGGACGCTTTAACGCCTTCCAATGCAATCTTGGCCACTTCCAAAGCACCTACAGCGATGTCCAGCACCACCCTTGACTTGTCTACTACGATCTGCGCAACTGAGACACCTGCCTTGGCTAAATCCAGAGCGACCATTGGGACTTTCACGGCTATCTTGGCCAGTTCTAAGGCACCGTATGCTATCAACCGGATACCTCTACAGACCACATTAGCAGCCACACAAATGGGATTCGGTATCTCGACCATGCAGCTTGTCCACCTACAGCAAGGGTAAGGGATTTTGACTCCCCAGACTTTCTTATGGCACCATTTACATTTTAGACCTGGTATACAGATTTTTCCGCAGTCTCTTATCCTGCACAGATTATCTACATCCTTTTGCGCTGCTTTCAATTTTTCCAGAGCTCTGCGGAAAGGTCCCTTTGCGGCCTCCATTTTCTGCTTGGCACGTTCTAGTGCTGCAACGGCGCTATCAAATGCGCCATTTGCCCTGCGAACATCTGCCTTTTTTTCCTCAAGCCAGTTCTGGGCCTTGGTTAGCTTACCTTGAGCCCAAGTTAGACCCTGCTGTGCTTGGGTTACTCGTTTGTTGGCTTCGTTAGCAAGATTGTTGGCAAGTTTCTTAAGTGCATCAATGAAGCTCCCTTCAAAAGAGTCACTTCCACCAGGCAGCAGTGCTCCCTCCACAATGTATGTCAGTTGATACCACTCTTTACCAAGCTCGGCCGACATCGTTAACCTGGCGCGGAAGAGGCTCCATACCTTTCCCTCAATGTAAGTTGTCAAACTGTTCTTTGATATAAACACGTCGGCTTCTGCTGTGATGCCCAATAAACCGGCCTCTGCGTGAAGCTGTAGAATGAATGTGTCGCTCTCTATGCCGAATGCAGCCCCGATTCCCACCCCTCTCTTTAATTTCAAGAAAAAGCCCAGTTTCTGTTCCGTAGAAACGATAGCCAAAGCACGGGCTGCTTTCTCATCGGCTAACAATTGGTAGACCTTCTGAAACCTGCTACACTGTCCCAACTGCCCCACTGAGTAAACAAACTCAATTTGAAGACCAAATATTTCTAGACCAAATACCTTAATGGTTGTCTTGTAGCGCACGCCAAATCCAGAATAATCATCGGTGACAGACGTTACTTCCCTCATGGCCTTTTGGATCGTTGCGTTTATATTTCCCTTTATGCGGTTCACCTCGAATTTGATCATCTCCGTGAAGTTGTGTTTGGCGATTTCAACATTGAACTCAACGGCGTCAAAGAAGTTCTGTGCTGCCATCTTTAGGGCGCTCCAAGTATTATGGATGGTGTCTAATACGACAGAGAAATCGGGGAATGTGAGGTTAAGTAGACTGCCTACAATTTGTTGAATGGCGGCCTTAAGATCAGCTAGGGCGGTGTGGACTAAGTTCAGCAGTGCTGCCGCGGTATTGGAGAGAAGATCCTTGAACCTCTGTAGATTTTCATTGAATACCTAGAATAAATTTCAATTACTTAAATGGATTATGAAACTTTAATATCTGGATAGCTCAAAAATATATACTTGATTTTAAGCCCATACGCCTGGAACTGACTGCAAAGAAAGCAAATCTCCGCAGACAAAATAGAGTTTCAAGTTTCTGATCGCGTTAACATAGTGATATTAGCATTTAATAAGATATTCTTGTGTTAGAAGTGGCTAATTGAAAATAAGTGCGTACGAACAAAAAAAAAGTTCATTAAGGTAGTTGGATCATATGTGAAAAGTATCAAAAACAAGTCGAAAACTTTCATACCGTTAGCTTACGGCCAACCAGGGTAGGCCATCATCAAACTGATGTGAGTAGACCACCTAGCGGTCAGTGAGTAACAGCATCCACTCACATCAGTCTGATGAAGGCTTACGCCCAGGTTGGCCTAACGCTAACGATATGAGAGGTTTTTTCCGCTTGTGTTTCATAATTTTCAAATATTAGTGCATGTAGTTTGATTTTTTTCAAGCTATAATAATGAAAATAATAAATACATAAATAAAAATTGTTTACAGATGGATATCATTCAATGCCAGGAGAAAATCGATTTATATAATGGTATATATTCCCTGTTAGTCATTCCTACCTCCATGAAATGATCCACGATTTGTTGGATATCTATGATATCTCTAATAAGATCAACGGTTGTCAAGTTTTTGATCTTGTCTGACTGGTCGTAGGTAACGAAAGCATAGACTGAGTGTCGGTTGTCAAACACCCAATCACCTATTGGGGAATAAAACCATTCAGATAATTTAAAAAGGCAGTTAAGCTGTTCCGTTATTTTTCTTTTGACTGTGAATATTTGATTTTCTGCAAAAGAGTTATGTTTCGAGAATAAACGAGAAATAATACCTCTAGCCAACGTTATGTTGCTTTTGGGTAGATGTATAGATTATCAAGTACATAGACTGGCCGGCTCTTCTTACCTGCTGTTTAAACAATGTAACTTACCTAGTATGGGGATGTTCCTGAAGGGGTTGATGCTGAGCTGAAGTGACAAGAATATTCCTGGAGGGTTGGCGTTTACTCCGCACCACTGTCTTGGTTCTAGGCCTGGTAATTAAGAACGGGATAATTGACATCATAACAGCGTTGATGGGTAACAAGAATTTGTTCAATATGTTCGTGTGTGTCTGAGAGAGAGAGAGAGAGAGAGAGAGAGAGAGAGAAAGAAAGAGAGTGAGAGAGAAAGAGCTTTAGCACTTACCACCAACCGACATGTGGGTTTCCAGACTGGAGACACCCAGCTCCTTAACTCTTATGCTTCGTTGCTTGCCAAACAATTTAAACTTAAGAGTGCACGATGCAACGACGTCCAGTTTCACAAGAGCATTCCACTCCTCCAGGAATACGTGAGTAAGCAGCTGAAATTATCAAATTATCGTGTAACAAATTTTGTGGTTAAATTATAAAGTGGTAAGTGGTTATTATCAGACTGGGGCTAGTTACCCAGTTTGACAATTTTGGCCTTGTGGAGCCAACTGGGAATGAGTTGTAGCAGCAGAAGCGGTTTCAAAGTAAACCCCATGAACTTAGCTACGTATGCAAGGTCATATTTTTTCAAATGTTAAGTCAGATGACTCACAATTTGACAAACGACGCAATTGACGTCAGAGGAGCCATTTTGGCCCCAGGATCGGGACAAGTTGGTACCCTATACGAAAATACAATAAGTATCCCGCGTAAACGCTATGAAATACACATTTTTTTTTATTAAATTGGTTTTTGAGAGTTTTTGATGAATAAATAGTTCAAATGAGGCAGATATATTGAGGTATTTGTACGTTACGTTGTTTGTATGGATAATTATTGGATAATTTACAAAATGTTGTGATCATTTTTTCATCCCGTAGTTACTTTTTCATAAATTGATGGGTGTCAACTTAAACCGGGGTAAAACTATAACCCTGGTCTCCCTCAATAACTGATATGAAGCTACAGGGTGAATGGGTTGAGGTCGCTCAGTTATGGTGTACCTAACACCCAGAATAATATGGCTATATACACCAGTAATATAGTTCTGTGGGTTTTTTTTACTTGTTATTCCAGTTTTTGAAAATGAGATGTAAGCTTCAATTAAAGGTGTCTTTATAAGAAGGGAGGACGCATCGACTCTAAATGTTGATTTGGGGATCAGTTTAAACAGGAGCATCTAGTATAGCCTACTTTACTGAATTATCCTCGCTTCCTCTTTATTATTGGCATTAAAATTAATTTCATTTTCAGGACCGACAAGATGAGCTAGAGATGTGTTACTGACAAGATGACTTACTGAGAGTGGGTTACGAGGAAATCCTAGGTAAATATCGGTTTCTGCGGAGATGTCGAAGATACTGACGTTTTTGGTGACGCTTCCTCCAACCCAAATGTGCGCTTTTGGAAAAACTCTGAAATTTATCAATATTTTCAATAGAAATAATATAGAAAACAAACGAAACTTGTTTTAATACATAAAGTGTTGTGTATCATCCTGTGTGTATGTGTGTTTAGAGTAATATTAGTCAGTCCCTAAGGTGAAAAGAGAAAATAAATTACACGTACAAATATATTTACATAAGATATAAAATTCAGTAACAAAATGTAGAAAACTTAAAGATACGTATTTGTATTTATATATTAAATTATGATTGTTCACGCTAAACAGAATGAAAAATAAGCGTGATCAATTCCTTACGGGTACTGGAAGAATTCATCCCCATTCCAGAACGTCAACTCCGACGCTGTATGGTGCACGTTTATCTCCTTTACTATTGACAAGCCAATACCATACAGGAACAACTTAAAATCACCCTTCTCCTCCATATCACTTATCACCTTCAGCTGACTGAGGAGCTCTCTAGATCCCGGAGGAAACATCAGGAAAATTGTGCCGCCATAGGCTCTGCAAATGTCAACAATAAGACAAAACTCAGTTCCGTTTAATGGCTTTGGGAGAGATATTTCGTTGCCATAGACGCTAAGGCTGAAGCCACTTCCAAACTGGAAGATGGTGTACAGTTTGGTATCGAACAAAGGCGCACCACGACATGCCTGTACTTTCTGAACATCTCGTCCATACAAAAGGTCCGTCTTCAGTTCATTGATTGAAAGAATATCGAATCCCGTTGATGTGAATTTGATCCAGTTCGGCAGCGCTTTGTAGATATTCTCCAAGAATGTCGACAAGAAGGACCCGGATGTAACAAAGTCGAACACATCTTTAGGCGTTAGATTAAATGAAAGACAGTCATTGTTTCGGTCTGTTGCCAGCACGGTTCCGTCCGATTCGTAATAAGTCAAAGATCCCATTTTCATCATGAAGTTACCATTAGGGTTGTCTATTTCCATACCCGTGATTGACATTGGAAGGGCAATGTCGTTCACCTCAATAAAGACGATACCAAGTGTGAAGATGACGTTGGGGTCAGAGGTCAACTTGTACCATTCAGCTGTGGACGAAAGACGGACTTCTACATCAGCGCCCTCTGTACAGCGAGTCAGTGTGACCACAGCGCACCCTCGTGGCAGAAGTTTACGAGCTATGCTGTTACGTTGGAAGACGCTTGGCTCTTTGATTGCTGAGGTAAAGAAGTTTTGCAGAATAATTGGAAAGAATCAGTCTATGTAAGTTTGAATTAAATGAATATCATATTGTACATGTACCTCATCACCGCAACATTTACAGGAATCAAAATCTATGCAAGTATGAATTAAATAACTATGGCATTGTACATGTATCTCATAACTGCTTTAAAGAGATCAACCCCTAAAATGATGGATATGCGCTGTACTTGTATAAAAGGAATACCCATGTATCTATGAAAATAGACAATTATTCAAAAAAGGAATTCGAAAAACTTAAAGCTTAATAGTGAAACATTCAGTTTTAGTGAAGTCAAGTTATTAAAAACCAAAAAAGAAACTGGAAGCCAATGACCTGGTAGAGTAAAGTTATCTAATGGAAATATGACCAAGAATTTTGAAATGTTCTCACTTTCACAGCTCAGACCGTCGCTGCCGAGTTTCCCACTGCTACAGTTACACACAAATGATCCAAGGGTGTTTTCGCAAATGTCTTGGCACCCTCCATTAAACGAGTTGCATTCATTTATATCTGAAATAATAACAAAAGTAGATATAGGTGCTATTAAACCAAGAGGACAACAAATGCATGCACTTATACGAAACATTCTGGGTTGACACATCCCCTACTTCAAGAAAATTTATATATTTATAACAACTATAGGATGGAATCGCATGGGTTGGAGAAAGGGGCAGAATAAGCTGTTTTGTCATTAGATCGTAGGGAGATTCACAGAACAAAAGTTGACTTACTTGTCAAAAGAAATTTTATAGTTTACTAAAAGGCAAAATGGGTGACTTAAGAAACGCAGACACACGATGTCATTTTGACGTCATTGAAACTTTATTGTGACGTCAGCATGATGTCGAAATGACGTCTAGAGGTTGCAGAGTGCGTTAATGCCTTAGAAGTGCACTGACCTTCACACGTAATACCGTCTTGTCCCAGCTGGTATCCCGAGCTACATTCACACCGGAAGGAACCAGGTAGGTTGTTACACACCTGTGCACAGCCTCCGTTATTGGTGCTACATTCATCTACATCTGTAATGCATAAAAGCAAGATATGTAGGCCTACGTGTGCATTGAAGTACATGAAGGTCTACATATCCTACGCCATTTAATATCCTCTGTCCAAAACATACCCAACTAAAGTAATATTGAAACCAAATATGTTTTGTTTATATATATATATATATATATATATATATATATATATATATTGGAACTTGTTTGTATACTATGTATATACGTATATATTGGAATTGCAGATGTGAAGAAGCTAAATAAATTGATGGCATACCATCAGATGTCCATTTACCACCCAGCGTGTTATCTACCTACCCTCTATGTCATCTCCCTACCACCACAACCACCACCACCACCATACATTTTCAATCACATACAATCAACAGTCACACTATCATTCTCTTACCATCACAAGTGACGCCATCTGCATTCAGCAAATAGCCGTCCTGACAAGTGCAGGTGAAAGATCCGTCCGTGTTCGTGCAAAAGTGAGAACAAATGCTCTGCTGGCATTCATCGATATCTGTTAATCAATAAAATAAATTGAAATAAAAAAGTGTAATAATTGACCATTCAAATAGGCTGTTTTGACAAGAAGACTAAACAAATGTTTCCAAAGCACTAAACTAAGACAGATGTGTTTGTTTGTGAATAAACTTAAATACGTTGAGTACGAAATAAACAAGTAATGATGTAAGTTAATTAGTATCGCATAATCTCATGCGCATTTTCCCGTTTTTGGTTAATTTTTTAGTTAACCGTTTTTATACTTTTATGTTACTTTTCCAGTACATCCATGTCTGCCCTTTCATGCAAAATCATGCATGGTATGTCTGCTTTCCATTTCCAGATCACGACAAATCTTTTTAACACATTAAACAACTGGATATGTGTTAACTATTTTGGCCTTACCTTGACAAGTGACACCGTCACCAATTAGCTGATAACCGGCATTACAGTCACAACTGAAGGAACCTCTATCATTTAAACACACTTGGTCACATCCGCCATTGTTCAATGCAGCACATTCGTCGAGATCTGAAAATAATCACATTGTGCAAAAGNTGTATGCAAGGTCATATTTTTTCAAATATTAAGTCAGATGACTCACAATTTGACAAACAACGCAATTGACGTCAGAGGAGCCATTTTGGCCCCTGGATCGGGACAAGTTGGTACCCTATACGAAAATGCAATAAGTATCCCGCGTAAACGCTATGAAATACATATTTTTATTTTATTAAATTGGTTTTTGAGAGTTTTTGATGAATAAATAGTTCAAATGAGGCAGATATATTGAGGTATTTGTACGTTACGTTGTTTGTATGGATAATTATTGGATAATTTACAAAATGTTGTGATCATTTTTTCATCCCGTAGTTACTTTTTCATAAATTGATGGGTGCCAACTTAAACCGGGGTAAAACCATAACCCTGGTCTCCCTTAATAACTGATATGAAGCTACAGGGCGAATGGGTTGAGGTCGATCAGTTATGGTGTACCTAACACCCAAAATAATATGGTTATATACACCAGCAATATAGTTCTGTGGGGATTTTTTACTTGTTATTCCAGTTTTTGAAAATGAGATGTAAGCTTCAATTAAAGGTGTCTTTATAAGAAGGGAGGACGAATCGACTCTAAATGTTGATTTGGGGATCAGTTTAAACAGGAGCATCTAGTATAGCCTACTTTACTGAATTATCCTCGCTTCTTCTTTATTATTGGCATTAAAATTAATTTCATTTTCAGGACCGACAAGATGAGCTAGAGATGTGTTACTGACAAGATGACTTACTGAGAGTGGGTTACGAGGAAATCCTAGGTAAATATCGGTTTCTGCGGAGATGTCGAAGATACTGACGTTTTTGGTGACGCTTCCTCCAACCCAAATGTGCGCTTTTGGAAAAACTCTGAAATTTATCAATATTTTCAATAGAAATAATATAGAAAACAACCGAAACTTGTTTTAATACATAAAGTGTTGTGTATCATCTTGTGTGTATGTGTGTTTAGAGTAATATTAGTCAGTCCCTAAGGTGAAAAGAGAAAATAAATTACACGTACAAATATATTTACATAAGATATAAAATTCAGTAACAAAATGTAGAAAACTTAAAGATACGTATTTGTATTTATATATTAATTGATGATTGTTTACGCTAAACAGAATGAAAAATAAGCGTGATCAATTCCTTACGGGTACTGGAAGAATTCATCCCCATTCCAGAACGTCAACTCCGACGCTGTATGGTGCACGTTTATCTCCTTTACTATTGACAAGCCAATACCGTTCAGGTACAACTTAAAATCACCCTTCTCTTCCATATCACTTATCACCTTCAGCTGACTGAGGAGCTCTCTAGATCCGGGAGGAAACATTAGGAAAATTGTGCCGCCATAGGCTCTGCAAATGTCAACAATAAGACAAAACTCAGTTCCGTTTAATGGCTTTGGGAGAGATATTTCGTTGCCATAGACGCTAAGGCTGAAGCCACTTCCAAACTGAAAGATGGTGTAGAGTTTGTTCTCGAACAAAGGCGCACCACGACATGCCTGTACTTTCTGAACATCTCGCCCATGCAAAAGGTCCGTCTTCAGTTCATTGATTGAAAGAATATCGAATCCCGTTGACGTGAATTTGATCCAGTTGGGCAGTGCTTTGTAGATATTCTCCAAGAATGTTGACAAGAAGGACCCGGATGTAACAAAGTCGAACACATCTTTAGGCGTTAGATTAAATGAAAGACAGTCATTGTTTCGGTCTGTTGCCAGCACGGTTCCGTCCGATTCGTCATAAGTCAAAGATCCCATTTTCATCATGAAGTTACCATTAGGGTTGTTTATTTCCATACCCGTGATTGACATTGGAAGGGCAATGTCGTTCACCTCAATAAAGACGATACCAAGTGTGAAGATGACGTTGGGGTCAGAGGTCAACTTGTACCATTCAGCTGTGGACGAAAGACGGACTTCTACATCAGCGCCCTCTGTACAGCGAGTCAGTGTGACCACAGCGCACCCTCGTGGCAGAAGTTTACGAGCTATGCTGTTACGTTGGAAGACGCTTGGCTCTTTGATTGCTGAGGTAAAGAAGCTTTGCAGAATAATTGGAAAGAATCAGTCTATGCAAGTTTGAATTAAATGAATATCATATTGTACATGTACCTTATCAACGCAACATTTACAGGAATCAAAATCTATGCAAGTATGAATTAAATAACTATGGCATTGTACATGTATCTCATAACTGCAGCATTTGATTACAATAAAACTATCTGTAAAGAGATCAACCCCTAAAATGATGGATATGCGCTGTACTTGTATAAAAGGAATACCCATGTATCTATGAAAATAGA